CCAGACTGCAAGTTGTTGACATGCCTTAAAGAGTCCCTGGAGGTATTGAAGGGTAAATAATCCCTCTCCAGGGTCATACAGCTAATCAATGCCAGAGAAGGGAATTGAACCTCCAGGGTCTTCTTGAACTCATGGCCAGCATTCTATCTACTGAGCCACACTGCCTCTAGAATGTGCCTCTTCTATATACTTGCACACAGCAGGTGCTTAATAAATGTTTGTTGAATGGAGTTGAATTGCTCTGGGTTCCTGTGACATGAATTAGGTGGAAGCAGCAGCAGAGGCAGCAACATGGCCTGCAGCAGGGGCTGTGGCTCAGCACTTTTGTGGTCCTTTATTCATTCATTTATTTTTAACATTCAGTTTTTAAAATCTTGAGTTCCAACTCTCTCCCTCATTCCAGACACCTTCACTCACTAAAGGCAAGCAATATAATATCAATTATACACATGAAATTGTGCAAGACATATTTCCATATTAGCTATGTTGTGGGGGGAAAAAGCAAGAAAACTAAAGAAAAAAAATATACTTCAGTCTGCACTTAGAGTCCATCAGTTATCCCTCTGGAGGTGGATAGCATTTTCCATCATGGGTCCTTTGGAATTATCTCGGATTATTGTTTTGATCAGCGCAGCTAAGTCTTCACAATTGATCGCTGTTACAATATTGCTCTTACAGTGGACATGTTCTTCTAGTTCTCCTCACTCCACTTTGCATCAGTTCATGTAGGTCTTCCCAGGTTTTCTTTTGAAAGCATCTTGCTCACCATTCTTATAGCACAATAATATTACATCACATTCATACACTACAACTTGTCTAACTGTTCCCCAATTTATGTGCATTCCCTCACTTTTCTATTCTTTGCCACCACAAAAAGAGCTGTTATGTATATATTTGTACATATAGGTCCCTTTCCCTTTCCTTTGATCTCTTTGGGACAAAGACCTAGTAGTGGTATTTCTGGGTCAAAGTGTAGGCACAGTTTTATAGCACTTTGGGCATAGTTCCCTACTGTTTTTCAGAATGGTTGGATCAGTTCATAACTCCACCAGCAGTTCATTAATGTACCTTCCCCCCCCCATCCCCTCCAGCATTTATCTTTTTTGCTTCTCTGTCATGTTAGCTAATATGATGGATGTGAGGTGGTACCTCAGAGTTGTTTTAATTTGCATTTCTCTAATCAACAGTGATTTGGAGCATTTTTTTTTCATATGACTATAGAGAACTTTGATTTTTCTTCTGAAAACTGCCTGTTCATATCTTTGACCATTTATCAACTAGGGAGTGGCTCTTGTTTTTATTAATTTTGCTCAGGTCCCCATGTAGTTGAGAAATGAGGCATTTATCTGAGAAACTTGCTGTAAATTTTTTCCACCACTTTTCTGTTTTCCTCCTAATTTTGGTTGCATTAGTTTTGTCTGTGCAAAAGCTTTTTAATTTCATGTAATTGAGGTTATCTATTTTACTTCCCCAAACCCCCTCTATCTCTTATTGGTTATAAACTCTTCCCTTAACAATAGATCTTCAGGTACATTTTTACATGCTCCTCTAATTTACTTATATCACCCCTAGTACCTAAAACATTTATTCATTTTGACCTTATCTTGGTATACGTTGTGAGATGTTGATCTATATGCATAGTTTGTGACAAAACGCTTTCCAGTTTTCTTAGCAGTTTTTGTCAAATGTTGAATTCTTACCCCAAAAACTTGGATTTTGGGGTTTTATCAAACATCAGAATACTATGGTAATTTACTACTGTATATTGTGTATATTATTTTGATGATTACCTCTTTGTAATGCTTTGAAATCTGGAACTGCTAGTCTGCCTTCTTTAACTTTTTTTCATTGATTCCCTTGATATTTTTGACTTTTTGTTCTTCTGGATGAATTTTGTTACTATTTTTTCTAGCTCTATAAATATTTTTTTGGAAGTTTGACTGGTATGACACTGAAAAAGTATATTAGCTTACATAGAATTGTAATTTTTATCATATTGGCTTGGCCTACCCATGAGCAACCAATATTTCTCCAATTGTCTAGATCTGTCTTTATATGTGTGAAAAATGTTTTGTAATTGTGCTTACATAATCCCTGAGTCTGTCTTGGCAGGCAGACTCCCAAGTACATTGTCTACAGTTATTTTAAATGGAACTTATCTTTCTATCTCTTCCTGCTCTCTAATTTACTTATGATATCACCCTTTATGTCTAAATCACTTACCCATTTCCACCTTATTTTGGTATATGGTATGAGATGATGGTCTATGCCTGGTTTCTGCCAAACTGCTTTCCAGTTTTCCCAGCAATTTTTATCAAGTGAGTTCTTGTCCCAAAAGTGTGGACCTTTGGATTTATCAAACACTAGATTACAATGGTCATTTACTACTATGAACTGTGCACCTAATCTAGTCCATGGATTCACCACTCTATTTCCTAGCCAGTACCAGATTGTTTTGACGATTACCACTTTGTAACTGAGCTAGAAATCTGGTATTACCATGCTGCCTTCTTTTGTATGTTTTTAAACTGATTCCCTTGATATTCTTGACCTTTTGTTCTTCCAGATGAGTTTTATTATTCTTTTCTAGCTCTATACAATCATTCTTTCGTAGTTTGCTTGGTATGGCATGGTTTAGCACTTTTGTGATACTGATAAGAGGTGGTTTAGAGACCCACGGTTATTCAGGTATGTGAATCCATGAGATCTGATTCTTCATCCATTCTTATCTCCTGGTAGTCCTCACAAAGATGGGAGGCTTCCAGATATCTCTCAGAGTATTGTTTGAAATTTAGTTGCTCTTCAAAATGCAAGTTAAAACAACTCTGAGATAGCATCTCACATACATTAGATTGGTTAACATGACAGAAAAGGAAATGATAAATCCTAGAAGGGATGTGGAAAAAGTAGGTAAAATAATGCAATTTTGGTGGAGCTGTGAAATGGTCCAATCATTGTGGAGAATAATTTGATACCATAATCAAAGGGCTATAAAAGTGTGCATGCCTCTCTCTGACCTAGCAATACTGTTACTAGGTCTGTACTCCAAAGAGATTAAAGAAAATATGAGGACCCATATAGACAAAAATATTTATAGAAGTTCTTTTGCTGGTGGCAAAGAATTGAAAATTGAAGGGATGCTTACTAATCGAGGAAAAGCTATACAATTTGTGGTATATGACTATGATGAATGCTATTTTGTTATAAGAAATGATAGGTCCAGAAAAACCTGGAAAGACTTAATGAACTGATGCAAAGTGAAGTGAGCAGACCAGGAGAACACTGTACACAGTAAGGCAATACTGTAATGATGATCAACTGTGAAAGACTTAGCCACTCTTATCAAGTCAATGATCTAAGACAATTCCAAAGGACTTATGATGAAACATGCCATACATCTCCAGAGAAAGAACCGATGAACTCTGAATGCTGACTGAAGCATATTTTTTACCTTATTTTTCTTGCTTTTCTTTTGCAACATGGCTAATATAGAAATATGTTTTGTATGACTTCACATGTATAATGAATTTCACATTTCTTGCCTTATCTATAGGTGACAGCAGAGCTGGAGGAAGGAACAGAATTGAGAACTCAAAATTTTAGAAAATGAGTGTTTTAAAGAAAAAAATTCAGTTGCTCCTCAGGGCTGAGATGAGGGTCTGGGGGCTAGAATAGCTGCTGCTAGGGAAGGGGTTTAGAAGGCTTGAGGCATCTCAATTTGGAGGAAAGTAAGTGGTCTATGGTAGTAGGTATGGATCAAATTATGAGATTTAAGGTGGATGAAACAGGAAAGGAGATTTTCTTGCTCCCCGAGTGAGAACAAGTACCACTAGGGTCCAACAGATTTCTTATTTTCAGTAACACTGCCTGGCTTCTTGCAGGTTCATATATATACAACTCAGAAAATTTATGGGGTGTGTGTATGTATATCTATATCTATACATACACGTATAAATATGTATGTGTGCATGTATTCAATGGTGCCTATGTGTGTATTTGCCAATGTGCCTGAATGAACATGTGTGTATATGTGTGTATCTATGAATGTCCCTGGGTGACCATGTATGGAGTGGGCCTGGGTGAATGTGTGTGTGTGTGTGTGTGTGTGTGTGTCTGTGAGTATGAGTGTGTCCAGGAATGTGTGTGTGTTAGTGTGCACAGGTACATATGTGTATGTATGTGCTTCCTTCAGTCCCCTGACCACAGGCTTGGACTCCTGCCCCTACTTGGTGTCCAGTGGGTTGTGCTGGAATCAAGCTATGTGTGGCAGCCGCGTTACGGGCACAGCGTGTGTGGGAGCTGTGTTAGTCATCCAGAGCAGACCTGCCTAGCACGTGGCCTTCCTCTCCCATGGGGCAGGCAGGCATAGAGAACGATTACTCACGAGCTGTATTTTTACACCATCATTATATAATTGTCAGCTTCACTCCCCGTGGGGGCCCTCACATTCCAACCCACCCTCACTGCACATACCTCAGGGCCTCCTCCTGCTCCCAGGGAGACAAAGCTAAGCGTAGAGCGGCGACTTTCCTTGTCTTAGTCCCCTCCTCGGGACACACATGCATACATATACATGTATACATACCCTTGTACATGCAGACACAAACAGCTGTGTTTATACAGACTCATGTTTATATATCCATGTTTATGCTCATGTATGTCCATGTCCATGCATGTTTACATGTAAGTGGTAGAGCTGGGGTTAAAACTCAGGTGTACTGACTCCTAGACCTGTGCCCTTTCTATTATGCTTTACTGCCCAAGTCAGTATGAATCATCCAAATCAGGATGAGGGGAAAGCTTCAGGAGTTTTTAAAAACAAAGACAGACACAAATCTTGGCATCAGTGGTCCTGGTTATCAGAGTAATCAGCAGCTCCATACATGAAAAAGCTGCCCTTTCGACCAGTCTGCTCCAGACTGAGTGCAAGGCATTTTATTTCTGAGCTGGCATTCCACCCCAGTGGAAAACCTGGATACAGAATGGAGGAGGGGACTCACCAGAAAGCCACTCACTGCAGCACATGTCCAGGGACCCTCCAGCGGAGTCATCAGAAGTGTGATGCTCTGTCTCCTGCAGCAGGAAGGAAAGCAGAGGTTGCTGCTAAAGAACCATGAAAGGAAAATGTGGGACAATGAATACCCGCCATAATTCTTTGACTCAATGCCCCTTCATATACAATTCCTCAATGTAAAAGGGAAAGTGAGGGAAGAGGGAGGGATGGAAAAAGAGCAGCCAAACTAGGAACCAATCTGCAATCTATCCCAAAGGCTTCTCCAGGTTTGTCAGGGAAGAATTCCATAACATTCAGAGCATGGGGGTACCAGGCAGTCGTGGCCCCTTCTCAAGGGAGCTAAATACCGTGGCTCAATTCCCGGGAAGCCGCCTATCCCTTCACTTGTTAATAGGACACTACCTCATGGAAGTGAAGGTTTATTCTAAATTATTCTCTAACAAGAGCTGGAGCAGTCGCTCTGCGTGTGTGTGTGTGTGTGTGTGTGTGTGTGTGTGTGTGTGTGTGTGTGTGTGTAACAGAAGTACAGTTTTCCAGCCCACGAAACCACCTTGTAAAATAGATTCAGCTATAATTTTAGTCAGCATCACAGCATCTTCAGAGATGGAAGGGCTTTCAGAAAGCATCTATACCAACATGTACTTGAATAGGAATCACCTCTACAATAAACTGGGCAAGACTTCTGCTGAGGCCTTCTGCTTAAAGACCCCCTCAATGATGGGAGTCCCAACTCTTGAGGCAGCCAGTTCCACTTCTGAGTGGCTCTACCTAGGAAGACATTTTTCCTTACATTAAGCCCAAACCTCGCTCTCTGCAACCCATCTCTTTGCTCCTCTGTTCTCTGTGGTCAAACAGAACCAGTGTGATGGATGACAACTCTGAAGACATCTGAAGACACCATCACACATGTAGAGCTGAAAGTGTCTTGACCGTGTATCTAATCCACCTCCCTCACTATGTAGCTGAAGAATCTGGGGGACAGAGAAATGAATTTACTCCCCCAGAGTCACATGGCACATACTCGGGTTATATGGCTTCCATTATACTGGGCTGTCTCTCTCATTTCCTTCCCCCAAACCTTCTTCACTCCAGGTTAAGCAGCCCTAGTTGTTTGAAAGGGTCTAGTATGTGGTACTGGATTTGGAGTCTGAGAAGTCAGACCTAAGGCAAGTCACTTAATCTCTCTAGAACTCAGTTTCCTCATCTGTAAAATAAGGGGTTAGACTAGATGATCCCTAAGATCCCTTAGAAATCTACATCTCCAAGTCTATGATTCTATAAATGTCCTATTCTATTCTCTTTCCCTTTCCTCCTGTCTTTACTAGGTGCCATTAGTTTTCCCCTCTCCTCAGTGACAAGTTTAAAATAAAAAGAAACCATGGGAACAAAAGAAGAAATGTAAGCACATCTGCCATTTGGTTAGCCTTATTTTAACCTGATTTTTGCCAAGCTAGGCCTGACTACAGACTAAATAAATATACCACTAAGATGAGAAAAGTCAAAAAACATAAAAGGGTTGATTTGATGGACAAGAACTATGACAGATACACTGGCATAAGTCTTCCCCAGGCTTGCAAATTCTACCCATCATCTGCTCAAAACCATCATACCAGGAATCCAATGGTTCACCATACTCAGACCCAAGGGAGCCCAAGTGCCAGATCTTTGATGACAGCAAACAATGAACCATTACTCTGGAATAGCAGAAGTAGGACAAATCCAATGGAATGGCCCTTCGACACTGCAAATTCAGCCTATCTTAGTGAAATTGACCTTTTTACATCTCCCCTCTCCCCTTGACTTGTGATTTCAAAGATGTAGTGAACGTCCAGTGACACCAGGAGCTGTCCTATTTCTGTTGAGTGTACCATCATTCTCCCAATCCCTCAAGTTTATAACCTCAGAATCATCCTTCTCTCTTCCCTCTCTCTTACCCCTCCTCCATGACCATCAGGTTGAAAAGTCTTGCCAATTCTACGACCACAACATCTCTCACATTTGTACCTTTCCTTGTACTCATTTGACTACTACTCTTACTCAGACTCTCATCCCCTGTTACCTGGACTATTGTAATAGTCTTCTATTTGGTCTCCCTGCTTCTAGACTCTCCCTTCTCCAATCCATGTTCCCAAGATACGCAAAGATAATTTCCCTAATATCTAATCATGTCATTTCCCTGCTCAAAAACTTTTAGTGGCCCCTGTGGCCTTTAGGATAAAAGACAAACTAAGCCTGATGTCCAAGGGGCTACATAACTTGTCTTTGACCTATTTTCCAGCCTCATTTAATATTACTTCCTTTAATAAACCGAATATTCCAGCCAAACTGGGCTACAAACTCAACATTCTATCTCCTGCTCCTATGTCTTTGCATATAGGCTGTCTCTCTTTTCAGGAATATACTCCATCCTCATCTCCATATTTTGGAAACTGTATTTTTCTTTCAGGCTCAGCTCAGATGTAGCTTCAGATGTGAAGGCTTCCTTGATTCCTCTTTCTCCCCACTTGTTAACGTTCTCTCCTTATATTACTTTCTTTTTATTCACCTGTGTACATGTTGTATGTGCCTGCTAGAATGTGAGCAACTCAAAAGCATAGACTGTATTGTTTTTGGCTTTGTCTCTCCTGGCATGGTACCTTGTACACAGTAGCTTAATAAATGTTTTTTTGAATTGAATCGAGAGTATCCTGACAGTGAAAAGTCTGAACTAATGACGTAAATTTCTACCAGCTTCTAATTGTTTACATTCCCCATGAGCTTTACTCCCATCCTCCTCATTCTTCTCTACTGAAATCAAGACTACTCAATGTGATCCTCCCTAGCTCTCTCGTAAACTCTTGGTTGAGCTGAATTGTTCTGATTCTTTGAGATGAAGGGAACACTCAATGTGCCATTTACATGTTTTGTTGAGTTTGAATGGCCATCAGGACATCCACATGGTCCTTTACTATAGGAAAATCTGTCTCTTACATGCACACTCACACTCAAAACTGGAAAGGACCTTAGATGTCTAACTCTACCTCTACACTTTACAGATGAGGAAACAGAGGCCCCAAAATGTTAAGTGATTTGCCCAAGGTCACAAAATTAGTAAGTAGCAGAGCCAGGCTTTGAACTCAGGTCCTCTGACTTCAGAACCAGTGAGCTCTCTCAATTATATTAAAATGTGAGTTGGTTTTTAGAGTTGAACTACTGGGACTTCTACTGGGAAAACGCCAAACAGACAGCATTTTAACGGATGACCATAAATAGAAACAAATACCTTCATTAGATAACAAGAAATTATAAAAAGGTGAAAGACTGAAAAAATAGAAGAAAAATATAAGGTATCACCTATCAGAAACAAATGATTTGGAAAAGAGTTCAATGAGAGATAATCTAAGAATCATCAGTTAACTACCTGAAAACTATGACAAAAGAAAAATCCATGTCAATATTTTTTCCAATCACATGTGCCATTTTAAAAACATTTAAAAAATGTGAGTTCCAAATTCTTTCTCCTCTTCTCTCTCCTCCCCCCACTCATTGAGAAGGCAAGCAATTCGATATAGGTTATACAAGTGCAGTCATGAAAAGCATGTTTCATATTAGTCATGTCATGAAAGAAACACAGACTAAAAAACCCCCCCAAAAAACAACCTCAAGAAAAACAAAGTAAAAAAAGTATGTTTCAATCTGCATTCAGACTCCATCATTTCTTTCTCTGGAGGTAGATAGCATTTTTCATCATGAGTCCTTTGGAATTGTCTTAGATCATCATATTGATCAGAATAGCTAAGTCATTCACAATTCATCATACAATAATGCCATTACTGTGACAATGTTCTCCTGGTTCTGCTTACTTCACTTTGTATCAGTTCGTGTAAGTCTTTCCAGGTTACATGCCATATTTCAAGAAATCATAAACAAAAACTGATCAGATCTACTAGAACCAGAAGACAAAGAGAAAATAGAAAGAATACACTGTTCATCCCCGAGAAGGAAACCCCAAAGGATGTCATAGCCAAATTCCAAATTTCAAATTTTCTAGGCCAGGTGTGTGTCTTCATTGCTTTCTTTCTCTTAAATTTCACACCTCTCTAAACTCAGCATCTCTGTCTCCTTTGCTGGTTCCTCAATCTCTTCTTCTACTTAATATAGGTGTTTGCCAAGGATCTGAGTTTGGTCCTCTATCTACAGCCTTCGCTGGTGTTGTTAGCCCTGGATCTACATTTCCAGCTGAGTGATGGACATCTCTATTTAGATATCTTGCTATCATCTCAAATTAAATGTGTCTAAAATTGAACTCAAAGAATTACAAAACCAGTGTTAGAATTGAAAGGGACTTTAAAGATTATCTAGTTGACTCCTCCATTTTACCAATGAGGAAACTCATTATGTCCCCTTCAAAAACTGCCTCACCATATGATTTGTTTATTTCTGATAATGACACCAACATTCTCATAATCACATAAAGTTGAGATCTCAGCATCTTCCTTTGCTCTTGCTTCTTCCTTGCCCTTCATCCAATTAGCCAAAAAGTCTTAATGACCCAATGTCTCACGTCTCTTCGTATCGTTCTCGCTGTTATTACCCAAGCACTGATCCTCATAACCCATGTTCTAGACTATTTCAATAACCTTCTAATTAGCCATCCTTCAACAACTAGGCTCTCTGATCTAGCCTATGCATACTACTAGAGTAATCCTGTTAATGTACTACTCTGATCATGTCACTCCCTGCAATGGATCCCCAGTGCCTACAGAACAATATCCAAGCTCTACAGCCTGGAATAATAGATTTTCAAAAACCAGCCCTTTACAGTTACATGTAGGCTCCAAGAATATCTGACTGATCTCCATTCCCTCAATCATCAAACACGTCCCCTTGCTTTCCCATTCTTTGTAACTCTGCTCACATTGCTTCCTATTCTTGCAATGGCTCCCTCAGCATTTACAAGTCTTTTTTTATTCTTCAAAGCCCAGATCAAATCCTACCCCCTCCATGAAGCTGTCAATGATTCTTTAGGTAGAAGTCCATCCTCTGAATTTTCTTACCACCTTGTAGATCTTCCATATGC